TGGAATATATTTTCTAATTGCAGGCATAAATACCACTCTAAAATATCTAAACTTAAAACAGTTCCCATGCTATGTGAGAGCATCTCTCCTACGTGAGAGAACCAGAAAAAGCTCAGTTTGTCATGGCAGTTATAACATTCTGATCCAACATGTCAGAATCACATTCTACATACTCATGAAAGTCTCATAAAGCCAAAAAATATTACGTTCTAGTCGCAGGTTTGATAATAACTCAGTCACCTCTGAAACAGAGCTAGCGGAGGTCTCAGGATCTGCATACTATTAGGTTCCACAATTCAGTTCAGACATTTTGCAACGCAGCAATCGTAATACTTCAAAATGAGGTATTATCACTTAATAAGAAAACCACAAACTTAGCTTCTTCCATTAAAGTCAAATTATGAACAATAAAACCATATCAAATACTCATCTTCAGGCAACATCTATTCTTTGAGAGGCTAGTGCCTCATACAATGCCATTAAGCTTTAATGGCTCTGTGGTGTTTTGTATTTAGTTTGGCTAATTTAATCCAGCTAATAGAGATGGTTATTCCAGGCTACAAATATCTTATGATTTGCTTCTTGCCATTTCCTGCATACGTTTGCAAGATTGCATCTCTGACTTATTGTTGCTTGTATGTAACTTCCATTAGTGACAACAGCAATGAGAAACTTATCTCTTCATGAGGCTACGCTTGTGTGTAGGATAGTTTTTTCTGCCTACCTCATTTCTTTGCCTTAAAGATTTATAATTTTCCCACTCACATTCTAATTACAAAACAAGGCTGTATTTCCACTATAGCCTAATGCCTAATTTTGCTCTATATGTTCTAATCATTCTGCTAGTAATTTTATTCCTTTAGGTAACCGAACACAGATCCTAGCTGCACCTCCATACCATACGTATACAGCCAGTTCAAAGAAAATCCTGAAGATCACTATTCCTTCTTCCAGAATACTTTTTCATCCCTCTTTACCTACCAAAATTGAGAGGTCTATGACTGCAGAGTATTTTTATTGTGTGAAGCCAAAGAAAATGTCAATCCACAAATCAAACAGAAAGAAACACTCATTCAGCAAACAGTCTTTGCTCTCCCTCTTGCGGTCTAAGCACGTCACTCACATAGTCTTCAGTTTTCCTTAGTTCAGTGCGTTCTGAATTCAAACGCTCTCTGCAATGTTGGGCATACATAAAGAGATCACGTCATTATTCAAGGTAAACGATATGAACAAAATTGTCACTAAATACCAATCTTAAACCATTCTGTATAGAATTCATTTGGAACAGAATGATGATTTTTATTTTAGCTAAATCTTTTAAACTAAAAAAAAATACACATTTGTTTTTAATGTAACTGGACATTCTATACTGAAATCACAAGAGGTACTATACTAGGTAGAAAAATAAATTTCTTACTATACCTGCAAGCGTATTTTCAGTAACTAGTACCTAACAAATACATGAGATACTTGAGCAAGTAGCAGCACATCAATCAGTTTCAGTGAATTTGCTTGAAAATTAAGGTCACTGCAAGCAAGTGGAAAACTGAAGGCTACAATGAACTGAATAGGAAAAAATGAAATTGTAGGAATAAGCAGGTAGGGAAAAATCTGAGCTTTTAAAACTTTTTTTGCAAATAGGAAAATTACACTTTTACTGACTCATATCATTGTGAAAGAGCAGTCTTTACACAAAAAGACTCTGCACAACTACGTTAGAAGACTAACGAGGAAGAGAAGAATAAACATGGTACTGTGGTTTATTTATGCACTAGAAGATTCTGTAAAACGTTTTGCCTCTCTAGATCACGATCTAAATAAAATGTATTCCCTACATTTCAGTCCATGTGAACGTGTGCATGAGGAAGATTCCTGAATGTGTCAGACAAACAGTATACTGATCGCCTTTTCCAGATACTCTTTCAACTTCAAACAGTATTTAGAAAGAGGGACTTCGGATCACTGAGTACCCAGGATGTACTCCTAGCTCTTTTCAGCCCGAGGGGATGAAGCCTCTGTTACTAACATGACTCATGAGCACCTGATAGCTCACCTAGACGCAGAGTGAGCTGTTCCCTGTCACAGCTGGAAGCTACGCGAGACCTGTTCGCCCCATGATATCACAGCAAGTGCCTCTGCGACCGCACAGCTCCAACCTCTGACTTTATACAAAAGTCAAATGACCTGCCAAAAAAGACAAAATTTAAATAGCACTAAATTCTAATGCTAGAGTTACGAAACTTCAGAGCGATATTTCTTTAACTCAGTCTCCTCTTCAGAAAAACACACCGAGAAAGACCGAGAGAAATTCTTATTCACAGAAAAAGCTAAAAAACAGCGATGACGGAGCCAGCGAGAGGGACGCCATCGCTTCCCACCCGAGGAGCCCAGGGGCTGACGGAGGCCGTTGCAGGGGCTCGGACCACGGCCCACCCCGGCCGCCCGCCCTCCTCGCCGGAGGACGAGCGCGCCA